GACTTATGAAACAATCAGTTGGGCAAATTGGTCAATTGGCAAAAAATGTAATTAGTTGGAATGTTTGTTGAGCTAACTGGCCGATATGCCCACAGGCATCAAGGGCAACAACAAAGGTCCTCCACTCTGCATCTGGATGATACCTCAGGTGTGGTTTAGGGTCTTGACCTGTACCTCTACTGTTTGTTGCCAGGTGTTCGTAAGTTTACCTCTCTTTAGTTGGTTTTCGGGTGTCCGATGTAGGGTTGTGTTAGCAAGGTTTTTTTCTTAAGCACATACCCAATCCAACTCCACCTTCTTGATGAACTCCATGCTGATTTGACAATTTTGAGGTGTTCATTTAAGATGGAGTTGTGCCAGAAAAATCCCAGGATTGGCCCTTTGTGTGAAAAATGGAGAGCTTGTTTGTATCACTGGAAGCCATCCTGCAACACTGATCCATATAACAGTGGAGACAATACACAGCTCTGGTATGCTGTACTTCAGGGAGCACCAATCATTGCTAAGTATTCTAAAGGCATTTCTGGCTTTACTTGGGTAGTTCTTTACATCGTCGCCTGCTCTCCTATCATATCAAACAGTGCTGCTTAAGTAGATAAACTCCTCAGTCATGGATAGATCGTCCTCATTCAGCTGCACTGTCAGGGAATTTGGAATGTTTAGTTTCATCAACTCTGTCTTCTTCAAGCTGATCTTAAGGCTTCTTTAGGATCCATCCCGTGCATTTGAGGAGTCATTTAAAAATTTTAGTTTTAACTTTCAGAGCACTTCATGGTCAGGCCTCCAAACACATACTGGACCTTCTGAAGCCTCTCTGTCCATCCAGGACTTTGAGGTCTTCTAATCAAATGCTGCTGATGGTCCCTCAAACCCATTATAAAACCAGTGGAGACAAAGCTTTTCAGGTGGTGGCACCAAGGCTCTGGAACGCTCTCCTTCTGTCCCTTCGCTGTTCAGATTCTACTGACTCTTTTAAGAAACATCTGAAGACATTTTTATTCAGACAGGCTTTTAGTTAAGTGCTTTTTATTGTGTTTTAATTGTTGTTTTTATATCTGTGATCTGTTTTATTGTTTTAAATTATTTTTGCTTTCTGTGAAGCACTTTGTGATGTTTGTCTGTGAAAGGTGCTATAGAAATAAAGTTTACTTACTTACTTACTTATCCATCCATCCATCCATCCATCCATCCATCCATCCATCCATCCTCTTTAACTGCTTCTTCCTTTCTAGGTCATGGAGGTCACTGGTGCCCATGTCCAGCAGTCAGTATGCGAGGATTGGGGTACATACTGGACAGGTCGCAAGTCCATCACTTGGCCACATACACACAAACGAGACAAACAACCATTCACTCTCTCACTCACACCTAGGGACAATTTACAGTTACCAACTAACCTAACATCCATATTTTTGGTCGGTGTCCCCCCACCTGGAGTACCCAGAGAAAACTCATGCACAGAGAGAACATGTGAAATGTACCCCAAAAGGTCCCCGACCAGGATTTGATCCTACAGCGTTTGTGCTGAAAGGCAACAGATCTACCAACTAAGCCACTGTGTCTTCAGAATAGAGCATCAAAATAATAATAAAAAACTAGAGTACCCAAATGTGGATCTAGTCCATTTTAGACTAATAGAAATAAACTAATAGGATGAAAATGCTGCTTGATGTCAAAGATATCATATAAATACACAAATGGCTTCCCATACATTTGGGCAAATACAGTGGCTACAAGAAACCATTTGAAGAGGGCAAGAGCAGCACAAAGTACATCACTTTAACGAATGCCCTGGAGATAAGAAAAGTTTACTTCCTGGCTTCCAGTTCTTCAGAAGTCTTTTATCCACAGTTATCTTTAAGGTGACCCCACAGGAACGACTATTTCCTGAGGAATTATGTGATCTGTATAACAATGAGCTGCCTGAGACGTAGATAAAGAAAGATAGTTACAGGTGAAATTTATAACTGTAGAAGACATTTTGTGGTTTTTACAGTTTCATGAAATACTAATAGGAGTTGATCACCAGCATTGTATTTTGCTTCCAGTTTTATTACACAACCCTTGAAATGCTTGGATACTTTTTTCTGAGCTGCCAAGTAAACTGGCAAAAAGAGCACCAGCACCAATGATGGTGTGCTGAACCATGAGAGGACAGAGAGCCGGGAGGGAAATCACAGTTTTTTGACAGCAGCTTCTCGGCTTCTTTCATCCTCCAGTCTGAGCC